CAATAGGACAGTTGTATATATATATATATATATATATATATATATATATATATATATATAAATGCTGTGAAATTCAAAGTTCAATGTAACAATTATAAAGCAATATAATGATATATAGAATTCCAAATGATTTTTAAAAAAATCATTCATGGTAATGTTTAGTAGTCTGATATAGCCACTCATTAAAATCAATATGGATTGTCATATATTCTAGTTTAACAATCTTAATTCAATCTGCTGAATTTAATAAAATAAATATTCAAGTATGTGCAGGATTATAACTTTAAGATGTGGATATATATAGAAAGTAAATCAGAATCTATTGGATCTCTGGATATTTTACAATAGATCAGGATTTCTGATTTCTTAGAAGTTTAACATATAATTTTTATCTGAGCTAGATTTTAGAGTGCAAGTAAAAAAAAAAGAATTAAACTACAAAATCAAGAGTTTCCTCCTTTTAACAGTTGTCTGAACATTGCATTATGATTGTATTTTGAGATTGCCAAATTTGTCACTTATTTGGGAGCAAGAACTGCTGAATTTTACTTCTTTTGGAGTAGATATGCATATGGTCGGGGTGCTAAACTTGCAAACTTTTAGAAAGTCATCTCCCTAAAAATGAAACCTGTTTATGGACCATATCTCTCTGCAGTTTCTTTTAAAACAGTTACCAAAATTCTAAAGTTCCTTTTGTAAAAGTGGCTTTACCAGATTCCTTCAGCTCCCAATCATCTCACAGCAAACAGTGCTAGTAAGAAATTGTGAGAACTGCACTGACAAGAAGTACACAAACAATAAGCAGCTTCTTAAATGTGTTTAACATGATAAAACTGCAGGTTTTCTCTTGGAAACCAATAATACATACTTGCAGCGACTTCCATAGGCACACTGTCCTTTTTGATAGAATTTGCAGATAGTAGATGGTTTGCTTGTAGACAAGTCATGGGAAAACAGACACCTATTTCCTTCACGACATACTCCTTGTACAAAATACCTGCAATAATATAAATGTAAAGCTATATAGCAACAGATGTCAAAATACATAAATCTTTCAATATTTGTCAAGTCCATAAATAAATCTGCCAAGATTTTCTCCAGAAAGTTCAGAAAAGCAGAATGCAAAATATCTGTATATTGAAATATACAAATATCCTAAAATAAGAGGTGGATTTTAAACTCACGGCTCAAATAAGGTTACACTGCTGCCTTTATTAATGTTGGTTTTTTGGCGCTTTTAAAAGAACTTACAAAATATATTTTAAGATTCTGAATGCATGTACTTTATATCCTAAAAATATTCCCTTGAATATCAATAAGGAGAGACTTTGGGCAAATCAGCAATCCACAGGATTAATGCTACACTTCCATTCTGTATGAAACTTCAATCTTTTATGATAAGGAATTAAGAGAACCGCCTGATATTGACTTGTAGAGACGTTGAGGAGTTTTCTGGGTCAACTGCACAGAGGCCTTGGTCCCAAGAAACATTTTCCTTTAGGAATCACTTAGGGAATATCTGATTTAGATCTTTAGATCGTTTAAGGGGGAATCAGTAACCCGCAATAACCCTCCCTGTTCTGCAAAAAGCTCCCCTATGTGTAATGAGCATTTTCAAAGGATACAACACACACACACACACACACCGGGGAAAGTGAAAGAGGGCCACTAGGGACCGAGTGAAAAGGCGGGATGGATTTAGCGGGAAAAACCTCTCCTATGTATAATGCGCATTTTCAAGGACTACAGCACACAAACTGGGAAAGTGAAAGAGAGCCATTGGGGAGCTCATGAAAAGGACGGGGTGGCGAGTTAGCGAAAAAAGCTCTCCTATATATAATACGCATATTCAAAGGCTACAGAACACACACAACCGGGGGAAGTGAAAGAGGGCCGCGTGAAAGGGATGGGATGGCGAGTGAGCGAAACAAGGACAAGGGAAGGGAATGGCTTTTCCCTTCCTCTCGAGGCTTAGACGGAGATGGAGGAGACCGGCGAAGGCGTCTCGGTCCCGTCCTCCTCCTCCCCCCACTCCCCGTAGGCGGAGCGTCTCCAGGCGCCCGTCCGTTTTTCGGGGTGGGGAGGAAAGCAGAGAGCGCTCATCCCAAGCGGTAACTGCTCCCTCAGACCTGCAGGTCACGTCCTTCGTGCTGCTCATGTCTCCTTTGGCACCGCTCCTGCTTCGGTGTCTCCTCCCTGCGCGGCTCCTCGCATTTTGGTTCCGCTGTAGCGCCGGGGAGCAGGGGGGAGGGAGAGGAAGGGAAAGCTGTTTGGGATCCCAACAAAGAGAGCCGGGCCTTTGCTACAGGAACTGGTTTCCGGCCGGAAAATATGAATGAAACGCTCTACCATAGAGCAGGAGGTAGAGAGAGTGGCTTTCCTTCACACGGGAGAGTGTGGGCGGTACAGATCTTTTAGCTGGAGGGCCGCTTATGATAAATATCGGAAGGAAATCGGCCGCTCTTTTACAGAGTTACAAATTATTGGAAAGCCGCCTTTTAATAAAAAAACGGTCAGTCGGGAAAGGAACGGCCGCCCTCCTGCCTTTTGGCTACCATAAACTAACGCGCCTCTCCAGGTATACAGTACATTCACGAACAGGCCGTAGAGTTCCGGAAGGCGGGACAGCGGCCGCCTGGTGGAAGCGAGATTGTTGGCTAGAGTGTACCTCCTCAGTTTAAAGTAATAGGGTTTCGGGACCCGCTACTTTTGGGATATCTGTGATTTGTGTTGCCTATCTGGCAGGGAATGGTGGGATACACAACAAGCAACAGGAGAGGATCTGGTTTTTGTCCTCGTTTTTTGAGGCGCGAAATAGATAGGCAATCTGCTGTAGATTTATTGCAATGAATAAAATGTTTTAAGTTACAGCAAAAAAAAATAGATGGTGTGAAACTGGGACATTGAAAGATTTATCTTGACATACCTTGAAGGATCGAGCTATTATGGATGTATCAGAACTTAACTTTAAAAATGTATTTTAAATGAGCAAATCCGTTTTGTATGTGGACACACACAGACACAAACACAGAGAGAAAATATGAGTATCCTAAAACTTCAGTGTATGTGGAGTAACTGACAACATTTCTGGCACTAATAACAACCATCACATTTTAAATCAATTTAAAGTTCATCTAATCCAAACTCTTCATGCTGTGTTCTCCTTTTGAAGTTATTTTGTAAAATGTATAGATTAAAAGGCAGAGCATAGAGATCAGGAAAGTGTTACAGCAGTCTCATGACTGTAAAGGTAAGGACAGACATCGTTTACATTGCATAAAACAGTATAATATAAATTAATTAAAAAGAAATGCCATCCCCTGGCTTTAATAACTCTATGATAAACTAGCATTAAATTTAGGATGCTGATCTTTTCCTGCCAAGGACAAAAGCTACTATTTCCCAATCTGGTTTCTTTCTGATAATTTGGTACTGCAACTCCTGAAAATCTCAGCCAGTAGAGCTAACAAGAATAGAAGAGTTGTATTTGGAAAGTTTTGATGACCAAATAAACTAGAAAACAGTTTACTTTTTTGCCTGTGGTGCAAAAGTCAGAAGATCTTTTTCAGGAAGAAATGGTGATAATTCTAAATCTGTTTAGTCCTTATTTTAATCACGGGATTATAGATCTACAAAGAGGTATCTGTTTACCATTAATTAACAGGTTATTCTACAGACTAATAACAGACAAATGGGATGCTTTCTATTTATCAAATCTAAGTCAGCACACAAGTACCAGATACAATTAGTACAAAAAGTGAACACTATCTCTTTAAAAGAATGTCCAGGAAAAGCTGTCCCTCCCATATCTTGTATCTCATTTGCTAATCCAGGTCACAGTAGAGGAAGAATTGGTCTTGGGATCTGTCGTTCTCAACTGATCTCTTCCTTCTTTCAATGCCCAATTCTACCGGCTTCTGTTTATTAAATGCAAGTTGGAAAGCAGGTTCATTTACCCAAGGAAGGACTGATCATGCAACCTTTGGACACAGAGAGAGCCTTAATTAAAGTCACCCACTGTGACAAAGATATTTTTGGCTGCTTAGTTCCCGAGAGCTGTCCATTGTGTGGGCAAAGGTTGATTTATGGAAGTCTGGAAGAAGCACCTGTCAGTATTCCAAGCCCATTTGTTAATGGACACCAAGAAAGATGTGCTTTTTTACTGAAACCCACTATAGGAACATTTCTAAGGTATGGGTCTTCCTTGTTATTCTATGGTTAGAAACAAGGCACATAGAAGCTGCCTTCTATCATTACTGGAATATAAGGCAAGCACCAATTTAGAAAAGGATTTTTACGCATCTGATTACTGGAGAGCTTTTTACTCAGAGGTTTTTAGAAGTAATTATTCTTGCTAAGCAAATAACCTTTGTATCTCTAATTGTATTTGAATAGCATTATGTCCAGCCTATTTTTCAAAAACTATTCGAATAAGTAAAAGAAAAAAATATCTACTGTCTTTTTCCAAAATGAAACATTAAAATGTCTTTTCAGAGATTATGATGGAGATTCTGACCTTCATGTTGGAATAACTAATACCAATGGTAAGAAAAACATATAATTAATCTTCTAATATGAAATGTTCTTGCATTGTAAATATAAACTGTACAGGACAAACAATTTGTATTTTCTATCCTATAAAGTAGTTTGGTTACATGCAGTGCTGATAGCAATATGAAATGGCCACTATAAAGCAGTGTCACCTATTGTTCGGCCTAGGAAATGTGCCTTTTCTGTCATAGCTTCTGCCTTTTGGAACACTCAGCTCCAACCCTGCTGGCCTTCTAGAAAGCCATAAAGACCTGGGTCATCCCGTCCCCCGTCCCCCCCTCCTGCACTGTAACCAGGATGTTTAGTGAAGTACAGCATATATCTGTTTCTTATGCAGGTACGTGTAATAGTTTGATTGTGTATTCTGGAGAAAATCTAGGTGGTTGCCGAGTTGCCATCAACTTCATGACACATAATTATTGTGTTTTTTTCTTCTGTTTGCTGACCAAAATTCTATTGGTTGGATGGATGGGCATACAAATTTGTTAATAAATAAATATATGCCCTAGCTACAACTAGGAAGAGTGTTTTCAGAATTATAACAGAATGAGAAAAACGGTTTCCCCACTAATAAACCAAGCTTCTACTGTTTCCTCCTAACTCTTGATATCATTCTGTTCCTTTGGAAGCAGCTTTACAACTCAAAACTCCTTCCCTTCAATTCCAACACAAGTCTGTGTTGGCCAGGAAGTCTCCAGGCAAGTACAGTTTTGCTGGTTTATCCCTCAGGCCTTTTCCAGTTAGAAGGGCCCATGTAGCTCATCACCACTTCTCAGCAAATAATTTAATAAGGTTTTAAGGCAGTTTGATTCTAGGAATGGCATGGGTTGTGCATATACAAACTTGATTGCCAGTAGTGATGAGTCTCAGAATCAGCTGCATATGCCCAGCCCTCTTTTCAAAGTGTCCAGTAATCTACTCCACTGAGAAGAAAGTGGGGAGGCAACATATCTTGGGGCTGAATATATATATACTTAGAGAGAACTAGGAAGGACTTGATAGGATTTCCCTTCTATGCCTTGTACTGAGTAAATTTATGAGCCTTTGGAGAAGACAAAGACTGAGATGATTTTGGAACCACTATATTTTTGAAATTATTAATTTCAAATATTTGCTAATTCTCTAATTTGTGCAGAAGTTCAGTTCTGAGTGCATGTGAGGACTAGGATGCTCTTGCTTGTACTGTATTAAGGTGGTTCTCTACTTTTCCATTTTTCAGGCCACTGGCTTCTTTGTATACATAGGATGCAGAAGCATTGGCTGCTTCTTGAGTATTAATCCTACTCTTTTGGCTTTCTTTCTTTATTGATAGCACTGGTATTTTCTTCTTTAGCAAATATTCCTGGGTTCTTCCGTTTCTCAGTTTTCAAACTATTTTGCTTTCCTTCTATCATCTTTTTTTCTTTACATAGAATAGAATAGAACGGAATAGAATTCTTTATTGGCCAAGTATGATTAGACACACAAGGAATATTTTTTCAGTGTGTAAGCTCTTAATGTACATACAAGAATAGTGATAAGCAACCAAGTTATAGTCAAGTTATAAATCAACAGTTCCACTTAAAGGTTCTCACTGAACATAGGACTTATGTACAAATAGACTGCCTACTCACTAAATTTTTACCTATCTTTTCATTTGCTGGGATTTATGTTGAATAATGACTAAATCTTTCATAGTTGTCTTGCATATTTGACATCAACATACAGAATAGAGTGAATGTTGTGCACATAAGGGTGCAGCTTATAAAAGGGCAGTTTTGCAGGACAAGCTTAAAAGATTTAATTACATCATTCAGAATGGGAACATGGATAAAAATGGCAAACTCTGAAAGGTTATTTTATGTTTGCAAAGTAAATTTAGTACTCAAATATTCTATTTCTATTGGAATAATCTTTTTATTGTTCAAAATGATATATTTTAATGTTTTTGAGACACCAAATTCTTAAGACAATAAATGCTTAAACAATTAGATGGTCAGAAAACCACATTTGGTAAATATTCTTTGTTCCACTATTCCACATTATTCTTATAACCAGGATTTTCAAATAGCTTCTGTACATGTCTATAAGGAAATGAAAATATCACAAGAGATAGTTACTAATAATCAGGCTTTCCATATTAGCATTGCATACACAGCCATTACGCCCTTCTGATCACATCTGTTGTTGTATTTGTAGGTTTGGTGTATAATTACAATGAAACTGGTATTACCATTGCTGAATACGGCTGGGAACAATGTGTGAGCATTCCACTAGTGCAGCCTGATATGTATGGCCTCCTTAACCAATGGGATACCTATCTGGGACAATTTTCAGCAACAGATATTTGGCTTCCACACAGGTACAGAATTTAAAATGGTTTTGGTGACTCCCTCTAAGATAGCAAAATTAACATGTTAATTTTTTGAACTTTTCTTAGGGACTGTGAGTTATAACTGAGTCTCATGCAATCATTTGGAGAGAATAAACCTCTTCAGAACCTTTGTCTTCATTAGCCTATTCTAAGAAATAGAGCTAGTCCTCAGTTAATGACTGCATTGTTTAGCAACAATTTGAACTTATGAAGGTACCAAAAAATGCTCATTTATATGGTGGCAGTATCCCATTGGCAATCTTCTCAGCTGGCTTCTAACAAGCAAAGTCAGTGGGGAAGAGCAGTGAATTGTAAGTTGCAACTTACACTGACATTGTGCCTAATGATGTGGGTTGTACACTTAATGACTGCATCATTTAGTGATGGAGTTCCCAGTCCCAATTGCAGTCATTAAATAAGGACTATCTGTGTTTAGATCTTTTCAAAATACATTTTTTGAAAAATTGGGATACAGGTAGTCCTCAGCCTACAACCATTTGTTTAGTAACTATTTGAAGTTACAATGCCACTGAAAAAAAGTGACTTATGACCATTTTTCACATTTACAACCATTGCAGCATCCCATGGTCACATGATCAAAATTTGGGCACCTGGCAACCAGCATATATTTATGATGGCTGCAGTGTCCCTGGGTCATATGATCATTTTTTGCAACCTTCTGACAAGCAAAGTCAATGAAGCTAGAGTCAACCATGTTACTAACTTAATAACAGCAGTGAGTTTTCATGATAAGTGCAGCACCTTCCTACTATCTTACCTAAATTTTTTGCCTTCCACGCAAGAAGCTACTAACCTCACATTTTCCAATAATGTTCAAAGAATACACAGGACTAGTAAATAATTTATTGCAATATTCTTTGCCACACTTTTTCTTATTTGTAAATCTATTCTATTTATAAAGCTGCCACTTTTTATTTATATTCTGAGCATGATACAAATTTGCAACTAAAACCAGTGCCTGGCTTGCTCTTTTCTTCTCCCTTATTTAGACTGAATAGCAGGGTATTTGGATGTCTGTTTTGGTTAAAGAGCAGGATAATTATGTTAAATAAGTTAAGAGTTGTTTAGAATTCTGTTCCCCTTGAGAAAATTTGTTGTAAATAAACAGACGTTAATAAAATATACAGAAGTTATGCAGGAGCTTTGTTTTTTGTTGCTTTGAGACTCATTTCTCTTTATCTTTATCTATTTAACAGATATGAAGAATGTTTCCATAATTGTTATACATATGCACTAACATTCATTAATTGTGTGCTGAGTGCCCAAAAGCAACAGCAAATGAATAAAAATGAATTTGCAGAGAAATTTGTAATTCCGCGAACAAGAAAAGCTTCCAAATATATCACCATCTATAAGGAAATATGCAAGAATGGTTTTTATGTTGTTGACCATCCTGCTCAAAAAGGCAGTACTTCTACCAATCCCATTTGACTTTAGGCCGAAGCACTGACTGTAAGTAAAATTAAAATATTCATGTTAAGACATAAGGCATGTTCCTATCTTGCTGTAAGGAAAATGGGAAACATTACTATCATATTTAATTGGACAGAAATCCAAGAGAAATCAGAATTATTTCCTATTATCCATAAAACTGCAGAAACTGAATCACAATGTAATTTTTCTAATAAACATCTTTTCTACCTGCCTGAATAATTATATTTAGCATTATTTTAATTTAAAGACATTGATATGAAGTATAAAAATCTACAAATAGAAAAAAAAATCCATGGATGGGATCAAGAAACAAGGAATACTTCCTTTTTGTTGGAAGTGAAAGACAATTTTTAATAATTCTTTCTCTACTCCAGATGGCACTGGAGCAAAGACAATGACATTTTATTTAGCAATGACAATGACATTTTCCTTTCTGTGGGTGTATTCATGAATAGAAGTTAACCAACAAAATAAAATTCAGCATTCATAGAATCATAGAGCTGGAAGGGACATATAACTATCAAACACATGAATAAAATGTACTTTTATTTGGGATAATGTAGCAAGAAATTTTGGTTGACAGAAGTAAAAAAAACCCACTTTGTTTAATTGATTTCAGCCATCTCCAACATACATGGTGTAACTAGAACAACATTTTGAGCCAAGACTATAGCAGAGCTTAATTAAGTCTAGAAGTATTACGCTAATAGACATAAAACATGCTCATATTGTCACTATCCATTTGAGCTTTCATAAAAAAATCAAACTTGCAGTGCTCTATATTATATACATTTAATATACACATGCTAAAAGGAGGAATAGTTAAACTTTATTTAGTTTGCTACAATTCTATTATTAATATTGCTCAACTTTTGGATTCCAATTTCACACCTCTTCTTGTTCACTACGTTCACAAGATGAAACCCAACGATTTAGGATCAATTCCTTTAAAAAGAAAGACATTGATTATAAAATAAGTAAAATGCATACAATAAATATGGTTGCTGAATAATATTGTTAGCTAATGCATATTTTTCTATGCCTTTCCTATCCTTTAAGAAATAGCTTAAGGAGTAATACTGCATTTGGGCTGCTTCTATGTAATGTAAGTATTTGGCTCACAACAATCTATAGCAAGCCAGAAACATTATGTGTCTATGAGTGGTATATGTAACTATGAGTGGTATTGAGACTATTAATGGAAATGGAAGAATGATTATTTCCTAAATATTGCTCCCCTTAATCAATATATAATGGTTGCTTCATCGCTAAATAAGGCGACAGTTGATCAATGAAAATATAGATAATCCTTGTTATTTTGGGGGGAGAGGGGGAAGGAGCATATATTTATGAATTTGATTATTTATGAAAATATCTTTGTCATCCTGAGTATCTGCATCACTATCAGACTTATTAGCAGACAGGCAGAATGGCAAATCACTACAATTGCCCAGTGTGCACATTTCCAATTGAGGTTTTGGCATTCACTAATTCAGTATTTATGGCATTATCACAGAAAGTAATTACCACTAATACTTTCCTGTATCAGTTGCAATAACCCTTCCAATATCATTTGGCTGACCTTTAGATTTTTTTAAAGATCAACCTATTTGATGAATGTTTTACATAACTGATTTTTAGCACTGCACATATGAGATTTTTTCTTAAGCTTTTTCTCTTTGAACATATTCTAGTAAGGTGAATGCTTCATAGATTTCTTGTGATTTGATGCGGCTGCTTCATTTCAAAATAAAATATGCTCAAATTCCTTTAAAATTAAAGAACAGAGTATTTTGTATTCAAACCATTATTTTCCATAGTTTATTTTACTATACCAAAACATATTTTTAGCATTGTTCTTTCAAACACAATTGCAGATAATTCTTATTAGTGATTAAAAAAATGGGACTGGCGACGACTGTATAGTGAGGCCATTGCTAAGTGAAACTGTGGGCTTATCTTACTTAAGCTTTCCTTTGGTTTACAGACCTGGGAAGGTTGTAAATGTAAAGCTGCAAATTACTTTTTATCAGCATCATAACTGCAAATGGTTGCTAAACAAAGCGGTCACTAAATGAAGACTACCTGTAACTTATTTTTGGACAAATTAGTTTAATATACCCGGATCAAGCATCACTCCTATTTCTTAGGGAGAAAAGATGTATTTCAATCTCTTCTAATATATATATTTAGTTTTAGAGAACTGACAGTGAATAAATGACAGTATATTTATTTACTATAGCAGTAAATAAATAAACAATTCAATGTTCATTTCTGACAAAACATTAAATTGGGAGAAAACATACATACCTGGACTTTCATTCTTTTGAGACATTCAGGTGAAAGCATTTCTTTTTCATTCATATCAGATGGCTTAATCAAATAGCAGAACATGAGTTCCTGGTGACAAATGAATTATGTTACCAAAATGTCAAGTAAATGGAAATACAACAAATGTTTCTCCTGAAAACTTCAAATTAAGGTTCATTCACTCTTTATAGCTGTAATGAGACAGATAGCATCTATTATTCTAATTTAAAACAAGGGTAAAAGAGCGCTTTTGTAAGATAGTTTTATACAAAATCTTATCATTTTCTGAAGAGCATTGGGAGCTCTTGATCATTTTATTGCACTTAGAGAAGCCCAACCATTTGGGCAATTTTCGAGAGCTCATTTTCAGAGGAAAGTGAAGTGAGAAAAATGTGTATATAAGAACAGGTAACCTAGAGGGATGCTTAGCACTTTAGTTTTAAAGGTAAAATATACTTTGGGGTGTGCAGGGATGGAAATGTAGACTTTCCTGCAACTCCTGAAAGCGGTTGGTGTCTTTTCCTAGGATTATGTAGCTGCCTGTTGCAGCCCAGTCCCAAGAAAATATGCATTTGGTATAAGGAGTTTTGGGCATGTATTCTATTTGTGCTCCTGAATCGTCTGAAGCACCATTTGGCTTTGAATCTAAGTGGTGCAGAGTCCTCAAAATTAGGTTTCTTGGCCTTCAGAGATAACTTTCATCTCAAGTTACTATAATTCAGTTGCTTCCTTCCATCCATTTACTCTTTCTGAAATGTACAGGGAGGATTATCAACGTTTATCCTAAATAGTGTATTAGGACAAACTAAATAAAAATATAGTTGAAAAGTGATCCACAAAAGCACTGGGTAGCTAAGTATTCAAACAAGCCTCAATTATTAGAGAAATACAATCTGAACAACTCAAGCCCTCTAAAAACTAGAAAGCTGAAATACTATATAGCAGTATTATGAAAGTTTAGCTTTTTAAAGCCGTTTTTTCAAAAATGGAATCTAAAATCTGTTTCATATCTGTGACGGAATATTAAACAGGGAAAAGAGGAGAATCTTTTCTCCATCATAGCAGTGTCAGTCGACCAGACCACATTTGTGATTGCTTTACAATTCACATACTGAAACATATATGAAAGATGATTTTTCGCTGTTAATCAGAAACATACACACACACACACACACACACACACACTTCATTTATTGCAAAATTATTTTATTACACACTTTGTATAATTTCATCTACTGAAATTATATCAATTTTCCTTCATAGCATTTTTGGTGTAATTTAAAATGATTCTTCTTATTGGCTACCTTGGAAACATTTGCTGTAGTTCTGTTCAATCCAGACAAAGTTTTCCAACTGAATGGTCTGTGCAATGGTCCATCAAAATCATCATTAATTAATTCAGCAATTACAGAGTAACTGGAAAATAACCCCAAATATTTTTTTTAGGATGAAAAGTTAAAACATGTATTCAAAAATCACAACCCAAATAACTTAAAATACTGATGGTTCCTTCAGCATAAGTACAAGAATCAATTCAGCAAACAACAGGATATTAGTTTTCTTTTCATATTCTTTTAGCAATAGCACTTAGACTTATATACCGCTTTATAGTGCTTTACAGCTTTCTCTAAGCAGTTTTACAGAGTCAGCATATTGCCCCAACAATCTGGATCTGATTTCATCAAAGGCATGGAATTCATCCCCTCCCCTGGCCACCAAAGCCATTTCCCTGCTTTCCAAATCATCTCTGGACAGCAGTGAGGGTCCCTCAAAACAAATATTTGTGAGGAGAGGTACTCATCGCCACCCACTTTCATGTTTTAATTACTTTAATTAGAAGGAGCAATACTGATCTGCCTTCATCAAAGCAGCATTTAAAGACAAGGCAGCTTTTAATAAAATACATACTGATAATGCAATAGAAGTATGCCAAAACCAACATAACTGTTCTTTATATTTGAAATTCCAATTATTCAAGTGTTTGAGACCCTTATTTAAATCTCAGGGCATCTCCAGGGCTATTCTGTGGGTAACAGAACATTCCATTGTAGGATTGGTTATCTGAAAGTTCTTACTGAAGATGGCCACCCATGGGATCTGCTAATTTGAGGTTACTCTTAGCTTCAGCTTTGGAAAAACAATATTCGGAATTATGCCAAAGTAAATTAGAAACAAACATATAATCATATTTTCAAGTAGCATAAAAATTAACCATAATATACAGTAAAAATGAAAATTATATCCAAACCTTAATGCTATACCTGGCATGGTAAAAAGGAGGGCCTTTTCGATATAGCACTAAAACAGAAATAAAATGGACATTCATTTATTACAAAAGTCATATTTTTGTTTTTAGTTATAACAAAGTAAGATCGTGGTAACCTATTACAAAACTTTGAGGATCTAAACCACTTTACAGTAAGATGAGCTTGTATTATAATATTCTAATATGAATGTACTCTAAATAAGTTACAATGATACCACATATTTATTGAAAGTAAACAGATTCTTTACTTACTCCCATCTACTAAAACTTTAAAGTCTCTACCAAAGGTGCTTTTTCAAGAGCCAACTGGACTTTTTGTTTTTTCTTTGAAGATGTTTCGCTTCTTATCCAAGAAGCTTCTCCAAGAAGAAGCTTCTTCTTGGATGAGAAACGAAATGTCTTCAAAGAAAAAATGAAGTCCAGTGGCCTCTTGAAAAAGTACCTTAAAATAATCATGACTTGGATGACTTGAGATTCCCCATAGACACTCTCATGTCTGTAATGGGGCAAAATGGTGCATCATAGGGCAAAACCTTTTGAGCCAAGATACCTCAAAGAGGCTAACTTACAGAATGCATCCAAAACTGGGTCCCATGACTCCCATGGAATTGAAATTTCACAAATTTTATAAAAACAATTATAACAATTTTTATAAAGCGTTTTATGACATAATACAGAATGTCACAAAATATTTCCTGTGGTCAGTTCTTAATATCAGACTATGCTATACAGTTCAACTGGGCTTTGTTCGAGGCAGATGCAATATGAATTTTTAGGAACTTTTCAAATAAATTAGAAGCCCGGCCATTGTTGAAGACGTTGAGTAATCTGGAACCTTATAAGGAAACAATTAGCCAAGGGATCACAGACTGTTTAGCAGAGTTTTATTGATGTACAGGAAAAAAAATTATACATCAAATTAATACATAAATAAAATCATATACAGGTAATCCTCAAGTCCTCAATTGAGCCCAAATGACTGTTGTTAAGTGCAACATTTGTTAAGTGAGTTTTGCCCCATTTCACGACCTTTCTTGCCACAGTTGTTAAGTGAATTCTTGCAGTTATTAAGCTAGTAATAAGAGAAGCTTGCAAAAAGTGGTCCCATGACTTTGAGACACAGCAACGGTCTTAAGTATGAACCAGTTGCCAAGCATCTGAATTTTGATCACCTGATCATGGGAATGCTGCAACGGTTGTAACTGTGAAAAATGGTCATGTAACTTTTTTCAGTGCTGTGGTAACTAAATGGTTACTAAATGAACTGTTGTAAGTTGAGGACTACTTATATCATAGAACAATAAAGCCCAGCGTTATTCTTTGCCATTTTTTCTCCAAACAGCACAAATCCCTAAAATGGGATGTTCAGTCTAAACCCAAGCTTACAGGGAAGAGTACTGCTGCCTTCACATACCGTATTTTTCAGAGTATAAGACGCATCAGAGTATAAGATGCACCAAGATTTTGAAGAGGCAAATAAAAAAAAAGTTTTTGCACTCTGCAAACTTCTCCAAAACAGCCCATTTTTCGTGAAAACGGGCTTGTTTCCCCCCCAAAAGGCATGAACAGCCTTTGGGGGGTTTGCAGAGTGCTCCTGGAGCCCGGGGAGTGGGGTAAAATTGAGAAAAAAAACAGGCCGTTTTTTGCTCTTTTCTGCCCTCTCCAGCCCCCAGATCTCTAAAAGCTTCCTAAAAGCTATGCGTGGCCATTTTGGTAAAGGAGGCAGGGTTTTTGGAGGCAAAAAATGTCATATTCAGTGTATAAGATGCACCCAGATTTTCAGCCTCTCTTTTGAGGGAAAAAGGTGTGTCTTAATACTCCGAAAAATACGGTAATATGTTTCAAGAATATGACAAGCAGATGAAACTATACTTAAGATAATATACCAATATTCCTAGCAGCAGAACATCAACCCCCACTAAAGAATGACTGAAGGTAAAGAAAGAGGAACATTCACATAACAGAGCAAGTGAATGGATCCAGTCTTGTACAGTTACTTCATTAGGTGCTAATAATGAAAGAATACTACTTACACAAATCAGTTCCATATTTCAGGCCAACTTTAGGGACCCATCCTTTACTGCGGAAGTAATGATAAGCCATGTATGTAGCCTTAAAATTTGGTTGTGCTTTACTAAAAAGGTCCCATAACGTCAAGATAGATAAAGGTGCCTTAAAAACACAACCATGATTATTGTGAATGAATATATTCTAATATTATAGAAATGTCATAGACGGTGCTTTGCAACATTATAAAAACAAACCAAATAGAACCCAAGTGTGAAATATGTTATAAAAAACAGACAATAGTAGCTTGGTAGGGCTATTAATATTTCACAATGATAAAAGTTCAACAATAATTTCTGAAAAAATGTCCTGCATACTTTCTTTTAAAAATATTACTGCCTCATACTTGTATAGAAGTTGAACAGTCAGTTTTAAACAAAAATATTATTTCAGGAATGTAGTCAAAAATTATTTACATATATTAATGAATAAAAATATGTATATAAACAAATAAGTAGCACCTTTTTAAAGTTGGTATAAAGTACCTTAGAAAGAATATGCTTTATTATTTGCTAATAAGTACTCCAATCAACAGATCTCTCACTCGAGAATTACTACTGACAAAATTACCTCATTGCAATTAACTTACCTCATTGCAATAAATATTTAAACACCCGAGAGCATAGACCAGGAAAAAAGCCTAAAAATGACATCAAATAAAAATTAGTTTGTGCATGTTTAAAGTACTAGAGTACTGGGAAAGCTTTCTTACATAAATAGTTAAAAAGGAAATCATATTTAAAGATACAAAATTATTGCACAATATTTAAAATTTTATAAGAAAATGGGATTTGGTTAGATTAATTTACATTAATAAATGAATAAGCAAGTATATGATTACAGAAAACTATTTCTACACAACAATTATAATACCAGATACATTTTCCTAAACAAGCTAAACTGGGAAAAACCAATATTTCCCCCTTTATGTATGTACTACCACAAAATGGAAGCAGTCCAGAGAGGAATAAACTTCCATTGTGCACATTAGCGCTAAGCAACAGAAATCCATTGCTGAAGGAAGAAATCAAGGGAAAATCTCAGGGAACATTCTGTGAAAAAAAAGTAAGAGACGGTAAGACTTAGTGAGTCAATTTTTGCTATCATGCAACATTTGGTTGCATGGATCAGTAATTCCAATTAGTTGCTGCTTAATCAAACTTGTTACAATAGGTTTGCTAGACAATGTCACTTTGATGTTCCAATTATGCAAGCATCCATTGAACTCCCAGTCTTATATGTTTGCCTGCAAGTTTTCAATTTAGACTTTTGAAAAAGATACTTTTTATAAAGCTTTTTCTTAATATATGAGATGCAAACTAAGAGAAAACATAAAACTTACCTCTTCTAGACTGAGTTGCAGATATTCAAAAATCCAGAAAGGATTTCTTCGGCATACTAAGTTTGCTTTTTTAATTAACTACAAGAAAGTAATGAAAGTTATAAAGAATAAATCAAAACATCTCTGTAATTTACATAGCACCAGCTAAAGGTCAGCCATCATAATGAATTATATTTCCTTTGTGTCATAAGACATCCTCTTGATATTTTTGGTTTCTCATTCCTAAATCCACCAGCTTTTGTTCTAACATTATAACAGTTCTGCAGGCAAAAACATGATTTTCTGGATGTCCCTATTCAGGCTCATTGGTGTTGCAACATGCTTTGGAATAGGACAGAGGAAATGCAACCAGACTCCTGAAGTAAAATGGCAAATGATTTCTTTAAGTACACTTTGCTGATATCCATCAACTGATTAGTTTCAGGGACTCTTAATAAAAAGGGATAAAGATATCTATAAAGCAAAATACCCAATTTAATAAGTTTTAAATTGACTTTACCATTACCCACAATCAAATTATGCTTACATGCAATTCCTCACTTGTTTCCTCTTTCATACACAAATCTGATTCTTTTTCTTCTATTAATACGAGCTCGTGCTCATATTCATTATTACTGAAACAATGAGATTCTGGTTCAACATAATTGTCTTCTCTGCAGCTATCATACATATTGAGAATACATCGTTGTGGTGAAGGAGTTTTAGCTAAAATGTTAGAGTCTGTTATATCTGATTCACTACACTCATGTTTATCTAATGAATCACGTGAATTATCTTTGAAAGACCTGTTATTGTCATTAATTTCAGATGAAGCCATTAAAAGTGTTCGTTCTTTATTAGCTTCCATTTTAAATGTTTCTTCATCTTGAACTCCATTATTTTGTCCAGTTTCTATTCTCAGATTAATTTGTTTAGTGTAATTTTGTATGATGTTGTTAATTGTGGAGTCATCTAGTCCTTGTTCTGACAGACGGTTTTTAGCCCATTCAACACAACGCTGGTATCTGGAATAGAAGAAAACAGAAAGGATGGGCTCATAAATAAACTTATGAACAATATAAAAGTATCTGTAAAACAAATGATCACTTCTCGAGTTTTACTGAAGACCTTGGTATATTAGGAGTCCCTCTTTTGAGGGAACATGGGTTTATAAATATGAAAAATAAATAATGTTTAGTTTATTTAATCATATATTCTATATATCTGGCTACTCATAAACATTTTTATGGTTATTCTTCTATTGCACAGCATATAAAGATTGCAGGTATGATTATCTTTCTGGGTTACCCCCAACCTCTGAGATTCTCAGTGGTGCGTATGAAGAAAAAAGTATTATTTGCTAAAGCTTTTATCTCTTGATCAAGACAGGTTAAGTGGTATTAATTGAGGCAAATACATTAAAATTTCACTACTGTTAACGTGTGTTATTGAATGATGAAACCAGTAATTTCTCTCTTTTACTCATATCTTTTATGATTGTTGTGTTATTTTATTCGCCAGTTACTCTTGCAAGCTGAGCATCCTGACGAACAGCAACTTGTAGATAAAATAAAAAAATAATACAACAATGTCAGATCAGAAATGTAGAGCTGAATCTGAATTCCAGCTTGAGTTCTAGGGTCTTAATTAAATTTAGAAAACATTTTTTATGAATATTTGAGAATTATTTTCTTTTAAAAATGCAATGGACTATAAAGGAAGTATTTAATTTAATCACTTATTTGTATTAATTGTTAATTAATTGTTAATTAATTGTTAATTGTTCTTTAATTAATAATTATTATATTGTTATTCACTGTATCAGAGAACTTTGAAATATAATACTGGCTTCTTCTTGACTGGGATATGAAGTATGCTTCAGAAAGAATTACTGATGCCAGTAATGTTTGATGATGGCAATCAGAGTAAACTCCAACACTTCCATTTTTAAATGCTTCTTTGAATTGTTTGCTCAGCCCTTTAGGATTCAAGATTGCTCTGATGCCTGTATTCATCTTTTGAAAATAAAAAGATGGAATAAACCAAACCAAAGCTTGACTGCTATTTCTAAGATTCTGCTAACTCATGCTTAAATATATGACTTTTCAGCATATTTCTTGAACAACAGCAATGGCAGATGTGAGCTTCATAATAGAACATAAACCTATTTCTGAACAAACAAGCAAATTCCGATGAATAATTTTCTGCAGCAGTATTCCTCATCTAAGGATCTAGAGTAAATGGTGATCTGATTAAGAATTCTAAAACATGTTCTTCTTTAGCTTTCTGGATTGCTTTGACATCACAATATTTTTTTTAATTCTTCTTAAATTTCAGTAAGGAAGTATACGGTAATTTCAAGAAAATAACATCTTTTGTATGCCTTTATAATTATCTGAGGAACTCTAACTGTACAAGCAACTTGTTTTTGATATCAGAGGTCAGAGTGATAGGATCCAGCAGTTTTAAATATGTTCTTTGCCACAAGCAAGGCTTTTTTCTTCATCCCGAAATATAACAAAGGATTAATCTAAAGTTATAAAGAGGGAAGTTGTTATTATTGCTTAAGAACGTGAATATGTGTCCCATTCTCAGACAAATTTTTTTATTTTTATATTAAAAGGCAGTGGGGAATGAAACATAGACATTTTTTTTTAAAAGATCATCCTTTGTGAGAATAAAATGTATGGACACACATTCTCTACTAAATTATAAAATTTAAGTCTGAAAAGTTGAAGCTAGTTCAAACTCCACTGCTGTCCAAGTATGGCCAGAAACTGTCCTCCATTCAAAAAGGCAAGTTTAAATGTGCAACCATCTTAACTGCTCCAGAAGAAAGTGTTAATTCCAAGAAGGAAAATAATCTATAATTCTGAAAAGACAGGGTTTACTGAAATTATAATTGAAAACAAGCCATAATCACTCTGATTTCTTCACTAACCAAAATTTAAACAAGTCAAGGTTCCTCATATAAAGCCCTTGTAAAAAAGTGTAATTCACCTAGATTGTTTTGGTTTTCTTTGATATGAGAACAAGAAAACGGGACCACGGTTGATATACTTTCTTGTTAATTCTGAAGCAAGATTCAGTATATTATATATTGCAACAGATGACTACTAGTTTAATATTCTAAAGTATATTCATGATGTTACCCAGTTTGGTAATGAAATGCTTGTAAGAAATCTACCAAGCTGAGAGTACCAAGATCCCACAGTTCAATCCTGAACCACAAATATTCTCTTCTATTGGTAATACTCAAAAGGCATTTCAAATTAGAACTTAAATCATTACTTGATAATTCTTGATTCAAAAAAACCTGCCCATATTTAGATTTCTCCACTATATCACTTAATAATTGGAACGATGATGGTCCAAGTTTTAATTGGGGAATCAAACAAAGAGTACTTTGTTTCTTTAAAGTATCTTAACAATGAGACAACACTTGATTAAATTGTTATTTTTATAGTTACTAAGTATGCTCAAGCTCTAGGCCAGACAAAGCGAAAAGAAAAACTTACTTTTGTGATGAGATTATTGGCATATTTAATTTAGCATCTGCAATAGAAAGTATAATTACTATTTTATATACATATTAAAACATTAATAATTGTTTGGATGCAATTTCAGAAAGACATTCATAATAAGATATTTACCACATGATATTCAAAATGCTTTATTATGAAAATTACTTTGAATGTTGGGAGAAGGACAGTATATAAATATATGGGGTTAATAAATTTAGAAATATGCTAATCTTGAAATACATTTGAAAACTCTAGCTATCTTCCAATCTCCACAATCAGAGAACGCAAAGCAGCACTGCAATATTGTGTAACCAAATGCCTACCACATGCCCTTTTAATTTATCTGGGAAGATTCGGAGCTGGTTACTTCTGAGGAAATAGATAGAGGTCCTCATGGATGCCAGTTCTGCTACTTTTGTGCTAGACTGGTGCCCCTCTTGGTTGCTTCAGGTCCTCTGGGAGGTGACATACAGTTGGATCCAAGCAGTTATTAGTGACTCACTGGAGGATGGGGCAGGGCTACCTCTCTTGAAGGGGGCACTGTATGCCTGTTTCTCAAGAGGCCTTCCTTTGACTCAACTGAGTTGGATAATTTTTGTCCATTCTCCAACCTTTCCTTTTTAGGGAAGATTCTTTTGAGAGTGAAATGGCAGGTTATTTGTTCAATTGCTTCTCCCACAGTATCTACTTTTTCAACTATGTCTGATAGATGCTACCAACCAATGGAATCAAGAAAGTGTGCCTTCTCTCCACAGCCCCTGCTTTGTGAAGCACCTTTTCTCCTGAGATATGGCAGGGCTTCACTCTCCTAATCTTTTGAAAGGCTTTGAACAACAGGTTCTTCCTGTAGGATAGGGTGAAGCTAGAGCTCAATTCAGTTGAATGTGGCTGTGTAGAGGTGTATTGCTTTTAGGGTTCAAGGTTGGGGGTGGGGAGACAGAAGGATTGGTTGTTGCTGTTCTATGATCCTGTCCAGTATTCTAGTATATAAGCTATTTGAGTCTAACACACACACACTTCAGTTTACCTTTCCATTTAGCAGTCAACATAGGATCTGAAATATTATATTCTGGTCGACTTCTTGAAAGAATACCTTTTCCAAAAAATCCCTAGAAAACAAGCAAATAGGATATCACTCATTTAACAAAACATTTTTTGTTCCAACAGAAATGCAGGATCAGTATCCAAGACTGATTAATTTAATGGATTATACAGATAAAATGAGACAAAAATACCTTGCTATATAATTGTTCTATATCTTCAGGATTCTTCAAAATTACATTGTTATTTATCAATTCAGCCCGGCACATTTTATAAACTCTTCCATGATTGCCTTCTACGGAAGGAGAAATAGGGAATGGGGAATCATATGATTCATATACTTTTCTTTTCCTTCTGGGAGGATGAAAAATTGCTTCTGCCATTTGGTATTATCTTTCTCTCAATGGAAGAATCTAAGGGTAAAGAGCATAAATAAATATTTAGTAATATTCTAAATTATTAACTGTTTATGTTATCCAAAGCTATATATAGGTAGTCCTCACTTGGCAAATCCCCTGTTAAGGACCATTTACAGTTAGGGCAGCACTGAAAAAATAACTTATGACAAGTCCTTGCAGTTATAACCATTGTAGCATTTCTGTAATAATAATTGAGAACCAGTCATTTTACAATCAGGTGTTGATGACTATTGTAGTATCCTATGGACACCGTTTCTGTGCTTCATAACCTGCTTCCAACAAAGCAAAGTGAATGGAGGAGCTGTCAGTAAAATTGCAAACTGCAGTCATGTGATGTGCTTAATGATTACAGGTGAGTTGCTTAACCACCTTGATAGAACTGAGGTCATACCTCCATTATAGTAATGTGATACCTCATTAAATAACCATGTGGCTTAGTGATACCAGTCCCAATTGCAGTTGTTTAAACAAAGACTACCCATATTCTTATCAGCTTGCAAAGTGTTGTGTCGGTCCAAGGCTTAAAATAGTGGAGATGCCAGAGACTGAATATGGACTTTTATGCATGATAATAGTATGGCTCTTTACTGAGGTATAGCCTCTTCCCAAACACAAAGTATTTTGAATCAAATATAGATTCAGGGGGATGTCCTAGAGCCATCAACACTGGAACCTTTGGCAGTAATATGACCACTATTTTCTTTTAAAATACATCCCGACTTTCCCCTCTAGTCTCCAGCTTAGCCACTTGCCTGTTCTCCCCTATCCAATTATTAAACAGGCTGCATCATACTTAGCATTTCTGGAGGTTGATGGGGAATGTCTAGTGTCTTCTAGATGCTGCCATCTGCTCTGGCACTTTTTATAACCCTTTACTCAATACCAAAATGGGAAAGGGGGAAAAAAAGACACTTGCACAAGTTCTTCTTTTATACAGACCAAAAGCCAGCTGAGGGGAAAGTAATAACACATCCAACCCCAACAGACATGTATCCCCCCCCATTATCTTATTCAGAACCGTTAAGGAAGAACTTTTATGGTTATTTCAAACAGTATTTATCAATGGGTTTCTGCAGATATGTCCTAGTCTTAGTACCATAAGTAAGAAACTCCATATAAATTTCTCTGAAAAAATGGAAGTAACAAGAGCTTGTTTCCCTTAGGAAAAACAACAGCTGCATGTTTACTCCTAGATCTGACATTCAAGACTTTATATGCCTTCTAAGGAGGAAACGCTGGCATGCAGTATATGAACTTGTTACACAGATACCCAATTCTCGCATTACTAATGGTGCTAAAAACTAAAAGAATGCCTATTTCCTTAATTAGGTCGCTATGAGGATTAAAAAAATACATCTGTACATATGCGTGCAAGGAGTTATATTTCCCTGATTTGGCTTCTATATTCTTCACTTTAAAAAGCTCCATTTTCAGAGCTCGCGAGTTAGAGACTAAGAGGGGAACTGAGCTTTGGGAATAAAATGTAACGCGGCCAAGGGCAGCCTAGCCTTAACTTCTTGCCGCTTTCTTGCCGAGCTCTGAAGCTAATACCCAGGTTGGACCTCACTCAATGCGTGGATAGGAGGCCACACGGAAATCCCAGGGCGGCAGTCTCGAATGGGAAGTCAGAAAGCAACTCAGCGGAAGACAGCGGGCGAACCATTCCGCGCGCGCCCGCCCAGATAACAGCAAGGCAAACCCCTATGACGTCGGCAGAAGTCGACCCCGACCAGAAAGAGACCACCCGGCTTACTTAAACTCCCCACGTACTGTTAGAGCCGAAGGGTTTTATTTTGACGACTGTTCTCATTTACGGTCCAGCGTGGTCGTTGTGGCAACGGAGAAGCGCAGCAGAAGGCCGTTTCAGAAGATGGCGTGGATTTACGGCTCGGTTGCTGAGGCAACGGAGAGACGGCGGGGGCGGGGAGGGAGAAAGCGCGTGATTACGAAGGGACGTCAAGGCTCCGTCATCGCGGTTCGGGCGGTCACGTGCCTTTCATGCGACTGACGGGGGGTGTCTTCTCCGGTGGAGGAGGGGGGGGGGCTATAATTAACTCAGTCTAGTTGAGCTTAAAGGTATTTACGCGCGTCTGTTCGTTGCAATGGTGTGTCGGGAGATTATTTCTGCATATCTCTGTACACGTCCAGCTATTTCTTTCTCTGCAACAATTACGGTTTCCCAGCCAACTTTTTCCAAAACTGAGGATCTGCAATGTGAATTTAAAAGAATTTTAAAATGTCAGAAAAAAATAGTAATGTACAGGTAGTCCGCGACTTACAACAGTTCATTTAGTGACCAAAGTTACAATGGCATTGAAAATAATGACTTATGACCATTTTCACACAACCATTGCATCATCCCCATGATCATGTGATAAAAAATGGATATTTGACAACTGGTTTGTATTTATGAGGGTTGCAGTGTCCTGGGGTCACATGATCCCCGTTTGTGACCTTCTGACAAGCAAGGTCAATGGGAAAACCAGATTGACTTAACAACCATGGTAGTAAGTTAACAACTGAAATGGTTCTCTTAACAACTGTGGCAAGAAAGGTCGGAAAATGGGACAAAACTCAACAAATTTTCACTTAGCAACATAAATTTTGGGCTCAATTATGGTCATAAGTCGAGGACTACCTGTATAATAATTCAGTGACTTTTTAGGATTCTGAGGTGCATATCACAAACAGGCATACACACATTGTGTCTTCGGATCAGTGTTGAATCTTGTCGGCTGGTCCCTGCCTTTTTCTAAGCAAAGTTTTTGACAGTGGTTTACTTTGCCTTCTTGTTAGTGACTAACTGAAGATATCCCAGCTGGCTTTGTATGTAAACCAGGACAAGAACTCAAGCTCTTCCTATTTCTAGCCTGGTGCCTTTAATTACTGCACCAAATTGCTCTCCAATCAAATATTTAAAATACAATGAATATAGTGAAACACTATAAACAATATAATTGAAATTAATATAATGAATATGTGACTATTTGGAATTTAATAATTCTTAAATTTATTTGCCACCTACCTTGCCATGGGGCTATTTTAGGTAGTTTATAACAACCACAACAAAAAGGAACTTTAAACAGTGAAGATAAAATAATAGGACAACAAAATGAACAAGAAAAAAGCAAAGCAAATACATCAATATGACTAGTAAAAATATGAGTGAGTGGGGAACAGGGGAGATTGAGTCTGTTGTCAATCTAGCACTTATAATGAAATGTTCTTTAATTACTTCAGAAAAGTGGATATTGAAAGCAATATTGACTGGCCTTAGTTTTTGCCCTGTTTAATTTATGTTGGCAGTGTCAGATCAGGCAGAAGCTAGTGTTTGACAGTCAGAAAAGTTCATGGAATGGCTGACAGCATATTATAAGCTGGGCAACCTTTCTGCCCCTATACTGCCCTTTCAAACCATTCCATTAATAATGGGATTATTATCACCTACTATCTTTAAAATAGTAAGCATGGCTATCCACTGTTTTTCCAGATTACTAATCTGTGAAATTGATAATGGCTTCAAGGATTGATAATGGCTTCAAAATTTGTGCTTTAAATTTTGGTTTTGGGAGGGAAAGGCTCAGAAAATAATACCCACAGTAATTTTAGTTCCAATAAGTATAGCTAGAGAAATTGTAATACATGGGGACTGTCTTTAAAAGTTTGAAATGCCCATTTTCTGCCAGAAATAGGTATGTGTCAATATATTTAGTTGGGGTTAATAGCAGTTTACTTTCTTTCACAATGATAACCAAATTGCTCACGTTTGCAGCTCATTTAAAGAAAGGTCAGTAACCTGGTGCATAACACATGAACTTCTTTTTAGAGGTCAGAATTTGATTAAATCATTTGGAAATACTTGAAGTAGTATTATCTGTAATTGCTTTATATTGAGTTTTGGGGTTGATACAGGAAGATGCATGTTTATTGCATTAACCTGGAAATGTAGTATACTTGTATATCAAAATAAGATCTTCCCATCAGAGATTAAAAGAACACTTTTTCACTGAGGGGGGAAAATGGCAAGCTGAAGAGAGCTTTACTGAGGGTGGAGCTAATGACTATGACAGATGAAGAGACAATGAGTAAACTGACTCTTTGTGATTCCACTCTGGACAAGGAGACCACTTGGGATTTCCCACAAGTGCTCCAGACAATTATTTCATTTCATTTCATTTCATTTATTAAATTTATAGGCCGCCCAATCCCGAAGGACTCCAGGTGGCTTACAATGAAAGAAGAAAAAAAGAAAAGCAAAATAAGTAAAAAAAATATAGTTTAAAATACACAACACACATACGTTCTAATCGGGGCTGGACCTTAACACTAAGGTCAACAGCCCCAGGCCTGCTGGAACAGCCAGGTTTTAATGGCTTTCCTGAAGGCCATGAGAGTGGGTAAGGTCCGGACCTCTGGGGGTAGCTGCTCCGACCCTGATTCCACAGGGTCGGACCAGCCACAGAGAAGGCCCTCCTCCGGGGACCCGCCAGCCGACACTGTCCGGCTGACGGTAT